CCATCAAGCGGGATTGGCCTAGGGGGGGATTTTATAGGGATTTTAAAGGGATTTTATAATTTTAAATCTAATACAGGTTATTTAATATATATTTTAATTTGGTTTTTAGATATTTATTGTATAGTACTGTTTTTATTTACCTGTAAGCCGCCCTGAGTCCCTCGGGAGAAGGGCGGGGTATAAATGGTAATAATAATAAATAAATAGATAGATAGATAGATAGATAGATAGATAGATAGATAGATAGATAGACATTCACACACACACACACACACACACACACACATACACACACACAAGGGCAATTCAGAAATAAACCTCCATTTGAGCATGTGTGAGAAATAGGCAAGGATAGCGACGCCCGTCCTATGGCGCCATGTGCAGTTTAGTAGGCAGTGAGGAATGGAAGGAGAAGGTTGTGTTGCAGTTAACTCGTCCACTAGATTAATTGAAAATGAACCAGTTTTTGAAAGGAAACAGTGGCTTGGGTCGCACTGCTTTGACGAGGGCAATGCGCTTCACGATGCTGTTACAGGGTGGCTTCATTCCCAGAAGGGAGTTTTTTTTTGCAGAAGGAATTACAAACCTTGTAAGACATTATGACAAGTGCCTCAATTTGAATGGCAATCATGTCAAAAAGTAATGTAATGTAGTTTTCTAATGTGTATAATACAAGTTCTGCATATGCGAGTGTCTGTCATTGATAATCAAACGGAGGTTTATTTCCAAATTGCCCTCGTGTGTGTGTGTGTATTATATATATATTCAAATTTTGTGGCTGACAGAGAGTTAGTGGGAGACTAGTATAGCTATTTCAAGCTCTTTAGCTTTCATCAGCTAGTCATACCCCTCTGGAATTCGAACCTCGGCAGCTTGCATGTTAGGCAGCTGTATTAACTTTTTGAGCCACAGGTTCCTCCTTACTCCTGTCAGCAGAAACCAGGGAGGATATATATCTTATCTGTTGGGTGGAGTACCCGGTCTACCAAATATAAATCAGTCTGTTCTGGTTTCACTCCAATCTAGGAGCATGTTTTGCAGGCAGACGTCATATACTGTGAATACTGTAAATTCAAAATTTTGTGGCTGACAAAGAGTTAGTGGGAGACCAGTATAGCTATTTCAAGCTCTTTAGCTCTCATCAGCTAGTCATACCCCTCTGGGATTCGAACCTGTGTAGCTTGCATGTTAGGCAACTATATTAACCTTTTGAGCCACAGGTTCCTCCTTACTCCTGTCAGCAGAAACCAGGGAGGATATATATCTTATCTGTTGGCATCAGAAATTAGCTAATTCAAAGTTCTGAGTAGTAATGTAATCATAGTTCTGTTTATCCACTGCCTCACTGCCCTCAAATCTCTTTATTAGAATATCACAAGAACCTGGACATTGGTAGGAAAGGAGGAGTATGGGGTAAAACCAGTGGTGGGATTCAAATATAGGAACAACCGGTTCTCTGTGTAGATGCCGCTTCTGGAAGTCCATTGTGGGCCTGGGCAACAAAAAATTAGCTACCGGTTCTGCTGAAGTGGTGCGAACCGGCTGAACCCCACCACTGGGTAAAATACATACGTAAGGTGTAGATGAATCATTTTTATGCTGGACAGTTTCTAAAATGAATGTTTGCCATTTGTGCTTTACCCAGAATCTTTGCAACTTGGTATGCCTATTAATTGCATAGGACATCATCAGTGCTTCTTTTTTTTTTAAAAAAAAAATCCCAGATAGGTTTTGTGTTGTATCCACCATGGGGAGGACCAGAATGGGATCTGAATGACCACAGCAACATAATGTTCATCACCATGTGCTTTTGCTGGCATTATGCCCTTGCAATCCTCATTACGGCAGTGAATTATTTCCTGGTTTATTGGTAAGTTTTCTGAAATAATATGTTCCTGATCAACATTATGTCCTTGAATAAACGGGTATGCAGAGACTTGCAATGGAATAAAAGAGTATGTGAAGGAATACAGGAAATTTTGCTTCCTCTGGTGATTGTCCAATGACAGCATGGTGCCTCAAATGTTGTTCAACAACGCTAGTACAATATCTCTGGTCCTTTTTTAACAAATCTGGTTCTTTCTTTGGTGTAACGTTTGTGAATAACCAAACGAATTAGGAACCAATGGTTTATTTGGTTCCCAAAGTTCAAGTAAGTTGTCAGATTCGGTCCCCATCAGTTGGAACCGAGAAAATACTGAGCACCTGAAGTTAAGGGTCTATTCCTGAGCCAGCTTAGCTGGCTCAGGAATTCTGGGAGTTGAAGTCCACGAGTCGTAAAAGAGCCAAGGTTGACTACCCCTGGTCTAAGCCAAAGCCATACTCTGTAGAACAGGGTGTCCAACATTGGCAACTTTAAGACTTGTTGAGCAACTCCCAGATTGTGGACTTCAACTCCCAGAATTGTGGACTTCAACTCCCATGGTTGCTTGAGGAACTTTGGGAGTTAGAAGTCCACAAGTCTTAGTTGCCAACGTTGGACATCCCAGCTGCAGAACGTGGTGTGGATTGAGCCTTCTGTAGAGTTAACCAGTTGGGACCCACTAGTTCCCTACATTGCCTGACAGATTATTAATTGTGTGGGGATGTAACACAGCAAAGATCAAAATACTTTTGATCACCTTAAGAGTTAAAAAGCTGCAGGTCTTTGAAGACGCTCTTGCAAAATTCTTACTTTTGAGCAGGACTTGACTTATGAAGCAGGGTTCCTCATGAGACCTGCTTTTTCACTCCTTCAGTGGGAACCATTTAAGGTCAGGTAGGACACAGCTTCCTTTTTTTAAATCAGACAAGGTTTCCTCATAGTCTGAGAAGTTCAATAAGAGGATATTTCCTTCCAGAATAGACCTACTCAGTTCCTATGTTTCCAGCATCCTATTAGGCAACTCCAGAACTCCCTTCAAAGTAGATTTCTCAAGTGTCAGGTATAACGTATGAATGGGGAACCTGTTTATCAAGGGCCACATTCTTTCAAGGAGAAACTATGGGTAGTGAGTCCCACTGAGGTGTGAACTTGGAATGAGAAATGAGTGGACCTCTCTATCTTTCTCTCTCTCTCTGTGTGTGTGTGTCTCTCTGTCTCTCTCTTTCTGTCTCTCTCTCTCTCTCTTTCTCTCTCTCTGTGTGTGTGTGTGTGTGTTACATTTCCTCTCTTTTTCCTTTTCTTCCTGTTATTTCCCTTTCTGATATACCCCTTCCCCTCTTCTTACTCACATAGTGGGGAGAGAATAGTGTCTCATTCTTGTAGAACAATTACCCTGGTTGTTTGCAGAAGGTTTTTGAATGTTGAAAGCTCCTCCCAGTTTCCTACCCCCCAAGTGACCTCATAAGCAATCAGCTGAACAGAACTACGGTGGGACTAATCGAATTATGTCTTATCGTTGTCCGTAGCTACTTCAAGAATTGTAAAAGGAGCAACAGACAAATTGGGATTGGACTTAGCCTAAGGAAGCAAAAGAATACTCATGATCCCCTCTTAAATGAATCGGATGAAGAATAAGCCAGGATGAATTGTTCAACTGTTTCTATTTATATCCAGAAACCTGAAAATGAAATAATCTTAACATTCCAAATATGTATAGCTTCTGGAAAGATCAAGAAGTCTTTGTCTAAGTATAAAATCAAGATGGCTGCACTTCTTTTACATTTTCATATCGTATCTTCTGACTTGCCTTAGTCCCTGGAAACAGAATTGATAATGCTTCTAATTGCCAGATGTTCAACCTTTATCCAACAGTGCACTTTTTAATGAAGCAATTTGTTTGATCAACAGTGAAAGAAGCCACTAAACTTAATTAGGATTTGCTTATTGTAACATATTTTAATCTATCTTATCTTCAGTTATATAGAAAGAATTCCCAACCTTATCGTGAATAAGCCTTCTAATTTTGCACCCTCTGGACATTGGGTCCGTAGATATTATATCAAATGATTGAGCTTTGACTGTAAGGGCATGCTTGATTGCCATATCTTGAGAAGGATGATGTTGACAGTGACTACCCCGACTTCTCCAAATGATAAGAAATTCCAAAGTTGCAGTGCTCTCCAAGTTTTGAATTTTCCTTTATTGGCGAAAGGAGGTTTTAGGTATTTCCTAATGCAGTGATGGCGAACCTATGGCACACGTGCCAGAGGCGGCACTCAGAGCCCTCTCTGTGGGCACACCTGCCACAGCTGCCGCCAGCTTGCGCAGGTCCATTAGGCCACTGCTGGTGCCCGGAGCGGCAGCCCCACCCAGCACAGAAGAGGTGAAGCAGCTGGCTAGCAAGCTTGAGTAGAGGTGGTAGACCATGCACTCGCTGGCCTCTGTGTGTGGGGGCTGATGGTGTCAGGCAGCAGTCGCCCCTGCCTCGCCTTGCCCCACAGCAATGGCACCCATGCCCTACCCCCTGCCTCGCCCCGCAGGACGAGCCTCCTGCCCACCATCCCATCCACCAGAGACCCTCTGGATCTCCCCCAATCCTGCCCAGCCCCCACAGGCATCTCCGCCATGACCAACATCAAGGTGGCCACGCCCACCCTGGCCATGCCCACTCAGTCTGCTGTGACCACTGCAGCCACGGCCACCCAGTGCGCCATGCCCACCCCCACCTCCCTAAGGGCACCACAATGCTGATGCAGCCCTGGCACTTTGCAATAAATAAGTGGGTTTTGGGTTGCGGTTTGGGCACTCGGTCTCTAGGAGGTTCGCCATCACTGTCCTAATGTATACATTTATTTACCACCATACAAGCAAACTGAAAAGGAAGTGGGCCTAGACCAGGGGTAGGCAACCTTGGCTCTTTTGTGACTCGTGGACTTCAACTCCCAGAATTCCTGAGCAAGCAAGGCTGCCTACCCCTGGCCTAGACATTTCAATAGCCAACCTCATGAACTTTTAAAAACACAATCAGAATATTATGTCAGTCCCAGAAAAGTAGGCAGAGCAACTATGGAAACTGCAGTGCAAAGTGTTAAGAGTCAGACTTCAGCCTAACCAATTCCCATACTGTAAAATGGGAGCTCCTTATTGATGCTCTCTTCATGCCTTGATAGCGAAGACAAAATGAAACGGAGATAAAGAACAAATGGAATTCAACTGGTCTGACAGTTATGTTGGCCGCACGGAACTATCCTGCGAATCCTCCTGTGAAACACTCCTCAAGTGCACATGCCGATATGCCATGTTTTGCACCTTTCCAAATCAAGGGATTTCTTTCAAAATAATGAACAAACTTTGTTGTTGTTGTTATTGTTCTGTTTCAGAATGCCAGTGCTGTAATTCTTTTGCTGTGCTCAGGAGTGTTGCTGACATTATAGTATTTTGCATTCTGTAGGATCATGTTCTAAAGCTTTTGATTTCAGCATTCTAAACACTCCGGAATCAGAAACTGCAGCTATTGTTATCCAAGGCATAGAATAAATCAATCCAAGTTTAAAATAATAATAATATGGCCTCCTTGATTATTTCATGCAATTTGTTAATTAAGTTTGCTTTGAGGTAAAACAGGGTAAATAAGTGTGAGTAGTCATTCCAACCAGTAGAAATCTGCTTCAGGGTAAGGTTATGTTGAGCTGTTTGTAATTCTAATTTTCCAAGAGAACAGGAAGACAAATGTCTAGAATTCTGGGTTTCTCTTGTCTTTTTCAACATATCTGAAACGTGTGAAATTGATCTGGCGAAGTCAAAGGAAGCAATATAAACCTCACAGCCCAACAAACCCGGAGATACATCACGTCCCCAACCCAGATAACAGAAGAAATATTCTGCTAGCAAAACATAGTGGTGGCAGAAGGAACTGGTCAACATTAATGGGGAAAGGGTGAATGCATGAAAACCATGCCTCCCAAATCTCTCTGACATACTCTGGAAGGTCTAGAGATATTGGATTGAAGTTGTCTAGTCTCCTTTCCTATTGTTTATGTCTAGACACCATGAAATTTGTTTGCTGGGCACTCTGCACAAAGAACTTGTCCTAGCCACACATACAGGTAACACAGAACTGTCCTTAGCTAGGACTTGTTTCACCCATAACACAAATTTGTAAGCCATGGTTTCCAAATTTTAACGACTAGTTTCCAATTCACATGAAAATCAAACAGGCCACTTCATGACTTGGTGTCATGTGTGAAGGAGTCAGTGATTTAACTGTGTCACTATTTTACCTGAAGAGGATGGAAGGGCTTGGCAAAGCTATGTAGTCAATAAGTTGGATCCATCATGGGTGTTCCTGGAGGTGAGGACTAGAAATTACTCAAAAAAGGGGGCTTCTGGTTCATAATCACAGCGCTGGCGGACAGTGGGGCAATCGCTCCCTCTGCCGTCCGGTTTTCTCCCGCCGGGGGACCCTGAAAGGGGTCGAAAGTCGCCTTGGAGGGGCAACGAGGATGAAGAGGACCTCCCGATTGATCACGGAAGGGCGGCAGCTCTTCGGACCGACAAGGAAAACATCGGCCATTCACATGGCCCATCATTAAGCCACTACCTGCTGAGGCCAAAATTACAACCAAGCACTTCGAAAACACTGCGGAGGAACTGGGTGAGACTTTACCTTTCTGTATCCCAAATATTTTCCTGTTAAAAGCTTTCTGAAACTTTTTCCCCGTCAAGACAGAGGGAAGGGAACGTCTTCTTCCCACCCTCTAAAATGGCGGCGTCTGACTACTTAGGGAAAATAAACTTCTGAAAAATACAATTAAGTAACTGGATTTATATAACCTTGATATCTGTGGACCCAAAAATTCTTACTTTCACGGGGGCCTGTCACCTTATCTACTTGTAAAAAAGATGAAAAAGAACTTAAACTGGATAAAAACCTAGCTCTGGTTTTGAAAAAGATTTTAAATGTCCTTGGTATTATCTAAAAGAGATAATAAGCTGGGAGAACAGCTGGAC